TTTTTTTTGCATCTGCAGAAACGCATATTTTCGAAAGATTTTCTGTGTGTGCATAAGTATTATAATTTTTTTGAGTTGTCAAATTGGCTTGGAATTATGCAAAGTAATTTTAAATGCTTATTTAGCAAAACTCGTGAAGTCGTGGAAATTGCTTCGCTCGCATTCACACTGCATACTTGTAACTGTCACTTCTACACGTCACTCCAGTTGACTCACACCGAACTCAAAAAGACAAAATACCAGTGAAAGCTTAGTGCAGGAATGTAATAGCTGTGTCGGTGGGAATTTTCAGGGTGTGTGAAAAACAAGCGGCGCGATACCATTGCCTTCCCTTCCCTCCTTGTCATCAAGATATTTTAGCAAGAGTTTACAAAAAACAGGCGGTTGCCATGTCTCGGTCAGTTTAATAATCAGTTCTTGTACGTTATGTAAAGATGGGCAGCAATGAGACGGATTCTTCACCATCACTTCTTGCTATCCTTCCCCTCTTTTTCCTTATCCTTCTTTTCAGCCTTTTTTTTCTCCTCTTTCGTCGGCTTCTTCCTTTTGCGCCGCCGCAGTACATTCTCTTGCTGCAAAAACGCAGTCATTTCATGTTGAACACCGAGTCGTCATGGAAGGCTCGTTCAAAACAATTATTTGATCTGATTTATTGGTTATGTTAAAAGTGCTCGCTCTACGCATGCGTAGTCTTTCAGAAAGACAGTTGTTTCAAAAGTGACCAACTGCCTGTAGAAGCATCGCGAAGCAGCTTGAGCTTTTGGGCTCGATCGTTACGCTGGCACATTTTGAGTTTCGTGCAGTGATCAAATAATGGTCGAACTGCTGTGGGACTGTGTCGGATAGTGGGAACAGATTTTGGAGATCTGTGTCAAAGTTTTGAAACGAAAGGTGCTGCTTGTTGACTTACGTATGCGCCCTTCTTTCCAAAGCATTTCTCCTTCATGAGTTGCAAATAAATCAAAGGACGTCGATGCAACGGAACATAGAAACCGGGTGGCTTATTGGCCAATGGAGGCATTTTCACTTCATCTGGTGGCGGCTACAAAATATTTTTCACATAGGCTAACTTAACTCATCATTTTTCAAAACAATTTTTGTAAATTCCGGGGCAGTTTTTCAGAAATTCGGCAAAGGCATGATTGTCTGTTAACTTTTGCAGAGCAGCCGTCCTCATCCTCATCCAGTGCATGAGCACTGTTTGAGAGTGAAATCCCAGTTTGGTTTTATTTCATCGAATAAGCAACGTTTAAGCTAACAAACTGTACTGTCAAAAAAATTTCAAAAAACTATGAAAAAA